GCTGGGTGCGCCTGCCTCGCGCGGTCGCCCGCGCCCCTCTCCGCGCTTGGCCCGGCTCCCGTCCGCCGCCAATCATTAACCTTGGGTCGCTGGGAGGGCGGACGGGACGCTCGCGGAGCGCGGCCCGGCCCCGCCCGGAGGCGGGAGAGTGCGCGGGGTTTTTGTTGGGCTTTTTTTTTTTTTTTCACTTTAGCAGTCGAGCTTTGGTACTGGTGGCACCCAAGGTGCATTTCAGGGTTATATGGATCCTCGCTTGAACTCAGACGAAGAGGTGATCCGAGGTTATCGCGGCTGAGTCCAAGGGTGACCCCCGCAAAGAAGGACGGAGTTAAACCAGGCTGGGTGGCCCATGCCTATGATCCCAGCCCTGGGGAGGCTGAAGCAGGTGGATCGCCGCGAATTCCTGGCCACCCTACACTACACAGTGAGTTCAAGGCCAGGCTGCTTATAGTCCCAAAACCAAATAAAAACTAAAAGAGCAGAGAATTAGTCACTGCCTGAACTTCGCTAACAGGAGGGGCCGACTGGCCTCTGCCTTATCTGCAGCCTCTCTCCCTGATTTATACACCACAGACCTGTCAGATTGTCTCTGCTTGCTTTGTTTTGTTTTTCTGAGAAAGGGTCTCTCCAGGTAGTTCAGGCTGGCCTTGAACTCACTATGTAGCCTAGGATGGCCTGGAACTCCTGGCAGTCCTCCTGCCTCAGCCTCCAGGGGTTACAGGCATGCGCCCCGCGCGCTCTGCTGACATTCCTGTCTAACAGAGCGAAGACACATTTTAGTTCTGTCTCTCTTCCTCCGCAGACGAGGGTAAGACCCTGAAGGGATCCTGGAAGCGGGTCTTCGTGGGGTGGCGCGGGCGCGTCTCCCTTCACAACCGCTGTGGATCTCCCGGCCGCTCTCAGCGAGCCCCAGGCCCAGGCCACGCCCACGCAGCCTTGGGCGGGCTGCGAGAACCCCGAGCACCGGCCCACTTCCCGACCGGCTGACAGGAGGAGGTAGCTGGGCGTGGTTGGGCCCTTGTTTCCGGAAAGGAGATCAGGAAGATGAAAGAAAAGGTGTCTGCCGCCGGCGTCCGCTTCCTTCTTTGCATCTGCCACGTGCTTCCTTTTGAGAGGCGGGGAGCCAGAAACAGGTGCGCTCAAGATGAGCGGGCAGGGGGTTTCATTCGTCTGTTGGGCTGGTTTTGGTTTTTTGAGACAGCGTCACTCGTACACAGTTCGCTGGCTGTGCAGCCCACACTGCCCCGGAACTCGGGATCCTTCTTCCACAGCCTCCCGGGTGGAGCGGACACTTGTGTAAGTAGCATCTACAGGAAAAAAAAAAAAAATAGGTTTAGAGAAATGAAATGTCCCTTCAAGAACGCCAAGTTTACCAACTACAGGAACTTCAAAGTTTAAATGAAATGGTTTTTTCAAATGTGATCTTTCCTTAGTAAATCAGATGTTTATTTGAATATATATGCATATATATGGTTGCACATATGGTAGGGTGACTATGAAGAAAAGTGTAAAATGCATGTCAACGTAAGTAACTTTAAGAAAGGTTGAGGAGGTCTGAGGGTGTTGCTCAGTAGAAGAGAGTGTGCTTAGCATGTGTTTAGCTTGCTGGAGGCCTTACATTTAATCCCCAATCTAAAAACAAACAAAAATAGAGGATGGCGGAAAGAAATAAAAGATTTTATTACCAGGAGTAGTGACCCATGCCTGTAATCCCAGCATTCTGAGAGGCGGAGACAGGAAGATCACAAGGCCTAGCTCAACCTAGGCAATTTAGTGACTTAGTGAGACCTTGTCTCAAAGTAAAAAATAAAAAAGTACAAAATGAAAAAGGTAATGGAGGAGCCGGGTGTAGTGGCGCACACGTGTAATCCAAGCACTTGGGAGGCTGAGGCAGGAGGATCATTGCGAGTTCGAGACCAGCCTGGGCTACAAAGTGAGCTCAAGGCCTGCCCAAACTGCACAGCGAGACCCTGTCTCAAAAAGAAATAAAAAGAAAAAAACGAAAAAAAGAAAAAGGTAATGTAAAGCCCTGAGTTCAATCCCAAGCACTCAAAAAAAAAAAGTCAAAACAGTAGTACTTTCTAGTATTGCTCCAAAATGAGTTCATCTCGCAAGCAGTATGAATCACTCTACATTACTTTGGTTGGTATCAGGATTAAAATATATTGAGTTGATCTGCAGGCCCCACTCCGCATGTATTGTCAAAGTCAATTTACTGTAAAAAGTATTAGATGTTGGGGATTTTGCACATACTAACCTAACTTATTACAAGTACAAAAAACACAAACAGCTACTAAGCACCTGCCATAGCCAAGAACTTTATATTATCTAATGTGTGTCTTGAATCACCCCAAGTCTTCGTGGCTTCAAACAATCATTTAATTATCTCTTGTGGTTTCTGTGGGCCAGGAGTTTAGGGAGGTGAGTTCTGGCTCTAGGTCTCTCAGTTCTGGCTCTAGGTCTCTCAGGAAGTTGAAGACAGATTAAGTAAGAAGCAGGGGGTGGCATGGAGGTTAGAACTCCCCACGTGGTCTCTAATTGTGGACTACAGGGTCTTCCTCACAGCCTAAGGACTTCATGTATTTGCTCTGCTCACCTGGCCTCTGGTTACCCCACTCCAGCTCGGCAAGTATCCTAAGAGAATAGAGCCAAAGCACATTGTCAGTGCCGTCCAACCAAAGACTACCGTGAGGTCTCTCCTTACTGAATGGGGGAGGGGTGCGCTCACATAAAAAGAACTCTAGCAAGTATGACATAGTGCCTGTATAACGTGTATGCTTTTGTGTCAATATATAGGATTAAAAGGTGGTTTTCAAGGTTAATGAATAAATGTAGTTAAACAAGCTAGGTTTATTACTCCCTATCGTCAAAGAGAATGTACACCATGAAGGAACCATGGGTGTTTAAGAGCATTGCCCACTCTGATCTTGAACCTCCTACAGGACGCAGCTGAATTTCCACCCTGTCTTCCTTGACCTAATTTCTACCCCTCCCTAATCTTGTTTATCTTTGAGGACAGGACGCCTGTAGGCCACCTGGCTGGATCTCAGGTGGTCTGTTGAGTGGGCCACATATAGTCCAGGTTCCTGTGTACCCTGAGGAAAGGATTGCAAGCACGCACCTCACTGTATGTGGTAAGTAGCTACGTTTATTGAAGATCACAGGACCGCAGCAGCAGGAACGGGTGAAAGGGAAAAAGGAAAAAAAAAGGAGCCTTGGTAACTCGCTTCCAGCATTTAAAGCGTCAGACACCTCTGAAGCTAGGTGCTTCCCGCTGCCCGTCTCACTGGTGTCACCGGTCTGGCGCCTTGGGCGTGGTGACCTCCGAGGGCGTGGTGTTATTTTATTTTGTACCTCTCTGAGGATAATGGAAGTGTGGGTAACCCTTTGGGCGGTGTGGTACGTACAACTGAGTGGAGGGAAGGG